AACCAAACCGTGTCACAAACCATTCGGTCTCCATGCACGACGTTGACCAAAGGCGCAGACGCACGTACACGCCCATCGCTCAGGCGCAGGCCCATCGCGCAGGCGCATTTCATGTTCCAATATTTCGTGGCGCGCAATATTCGCGATTACCATCATGTCAAATCCATGTTAATGTAGATGATCACATGGATTCTGAACCGTTTGTCGTTTCAGGGCCCACATGGCCTTGTTCATCGAAGTCGCGGAAAGGTCTTCCTCATCAATACTCCTTCAGAACATGTCAGCTAATTCAAAGACTCGCTAATTCAAAGACTCACTAATTCACAAGAGGAATGGTTTATTGGGGGGGAGGGAGGTTAAACCCTCCCCCCCCCCCTCCCTCGCTTGCCCAAGGCTTATTCTTCCCACTAATTGCATTCCGGTCCCATATCTTGCTAATTAGTCACGGTCCATGTTGCAATCATTGACCCCAGCACTTTTCAAATGCGATTACCTTGTATCTCGTATGTGTTGACGGCCAGGCTGCTCTCTCCTGTACCCATTTCCACCTTAGCTTGGGTCAAAGCGGACGCAGCACGTCATAATGAAGCCCTCCTCGAATTGCAAATCATTTAGCTAACACTTGTTCCGATTGTTTGGAAGGAATCTGTCACAGTAGCAGATACCGTATCCCTGTGATTCATGCAAGCAATTTTTCTTTTAAATCAGAGTTTCTATAACGGTTCATGACAATATAAGAGTGTGAAAAATAAATTGGACTATAGGACAGAAAAGTGGACGGTAAGTTGACGCTCATCCCAATTCAAGTGAGCGGGATGAGCGAAAGACTCATTCCCAGTACTCATATGGTTCCTCCAGGGTTGCGTTATTTCATTTTCTGATACTTGTTTATAGGGCTAATATGGAGTCGCATGACGAGGGGATCTAAGGACCACGAAGTGAATTAGTGAATCCTTGAATTGGCTGACATGTTCTGAAGGGGTATTGAGGAAAGGCCTTTCCGTGACTTCGATGAACAAGGCCATGTGGGCCCTGAAATGACAAACGGTCCAGAATCCATGTCGGTATCTACATTAAAATGAATTTGGCGTGATCGTAATCGCGAATATTGCGCGCCACGAAATATTGGAACATGAAATGCGCCTGCGCGACGGGCTTGCGCCTGAGCGAGGGGTCTTCCCGGACATGCGTGGTAAGTCCTTGTCACTCCACAACTGGGCTGACTAGAGCCCATGGCGCAGGCGCTTGTCTAAAGCGCAGGCGTATTACATGTCCCAATATTTCGTGGCGCGTAATATTCGCGATTGCTGTCACGCCAATTCCTTGTTAATGTCGATAGATTGGCTTCAAAAAATCAAAATAAATGCAGACTAACAGACATTTCTTCGAAGGACAGTAAACAAAAGCGACCATGTCTTGAAGAGTCCATTGATAGTGTCTGAAAATTGAAAGATCCTAGTCTCGGCAGGATCAGCTGGGTGAAGAATTTTCTCGATTGTATTTCATTCTGCATGCTCTCTTTCCACACTCTTTAGGCCCTTTTACTATAGAGAGCATGGAAATGCTCTCTATAGTTGCTTCTGCTCCAATGCTCCAAGTTGACTTGACCATTAATTTATGCACACTTTCACAGGCAGGTGTTGAGTTCAGCTGGCCTCGATTGTGCAAGTTCCATGGGAGCGAAGGCCCCGCACCTTTAGGGGTTGCACCCACCAGTTTGAGAACCCACCCATATCTAGCTCTACGTGGGTTGTCCGAAAAGATGTAGTTTTCCTTATTTTCGCGAAAACTTAATGCTACAATCGATGATGAAAGCTGCTTACTGCGTCATGTATGCCATTGACTTCTGACGCCATGGATGTCATTAGATAGACATCGACTAGTTAAATGAAAATGTCCATGGGCTCGATCCAATCGGTACACGAGGTCAAGAGTTATATATTAAACAAACTGGGCAAGCCCAGTCCAGTAGTGGGTTTCCTTTCGGTTAAGGAGACACATAATGCATCTCTTTCCGGTCCTTGACCATCACAAATCTAATTTCTCAGTTAGATTTGGTAAACGCAGACAAACGGTGCTCATGAAACGATGATGGAAAGATGGAGAGTTGTGCGTGGTTTGATCCATCCGCCACGAAGGCTGGTAGCGAACTGACAGCTCTGGTCAGTTCGCTACACTGCACCGCGCCCAAGGCCTGGGTCGCACGCTCATACGCATTGCGGTCCAGATCCTTAAGGGTTCACGGGTACTCGTGCCTTCCCCGCCGTGACCAAATTTCAAATCCAAAATTTCGCAATAAAAATGCCAATTTTTGTGTAAATTCGCCAAATACGAACTCAGCCTGTAACATGTCCATACTAATAATAATAATAATAATAATTGTTTATTTTCCTTTGCGGAATCATGGTGTGTACAGTGCCCTGTCAGAAAAAAGAGAGAATCAATGGTATGGAGTACAATGGTCAGGAAATAGTCAGAAAAAGAAAAAGGTATTAGGGAATGTATCAGGTCAAGTGGAAGTTTATGTAATCTTGCGACGTCTCAATTTGTCACGGTGGATGCGTTGTGCACTAGGAATGGTGCTCTTTCTATACCTCTCAGTTCTGGCCTTAGGTACGCCGCTGTACGTTGTCGAGTGGGCAAAATTTTGGAGTTGTCTACAGCGACGTTGATGTAGGGATTCCCAGTCGTTAGAAGTACACGAGGATCCGTGGCAGATTCGGTGGGCTACACAGTGAACCTTCTCCAGCTGATCTATGAGAGATTTCGGGAGGCCTGGTCCCCAAACTAAGCAGGATTCCCAGTCGTTAGAAGTACACGAGGATCCGTGGCAGATTCGGTGGGCTACACGGTGAACCTTCTCCAGCTGATCTATGAGAGATTTCGGGAGGCCTGGTCCCCAAACTAAGCAAACATACTCGACCCGTGGACGAAAGAAGCTATTGTAGGCTTTGAGGAGATGCGTTTTTGATGCACCGGCTAGTTTCAGGAGTTTCAGGGCGTGGTAACACTTCTTGAGGGAGGAGACCATCTTGTCTTATCTATGTGTATCTATGCATTTGCTTATTTTCCTTTTTCCGCAGATGAAACCATTCCAGCGTTTGAAAGGTTCCTCAGTTTGCTTGGAGATAAGATACGACTGCAAGGTTTGGACAAATATCGATTTGGATGTGAAGAGTGAGCTTATAATGAACCGCCGCATCGCATGCTATATACCCGTATTTACTCGTACTTGCGAACAAACTCTCGCTCCGTTACCTAGGATAGGGATTGTTTGATTTATTTTTTTGCGAAATGGCGAACGCGTATTTAAAGTACGTTCCCATTGAAGTAAGTGACATATGGGGACGAAAGTCTTGATTTTTATCAAAATCATTACTTCTATGATTTCTAGTGTGCCTAACTTGAAATCTTTTCCCTTTTTGTAAGGGTGGAGAATACATTTTGAAGTACTTCATAATTACGCTAAGGGGACATTTTTCAAAAGTAGGATTTTTCCTGTACTCAGCCATCAAGCGGGTACTTCTGAGGGAAGTTTACATTTTCCGTCTCTGTTTCGCTGGATGAAAAAAAAAAATTTGGGCAAATAGGACTTACAAAAAAGTGCCCTGATGGGTTTTAACGAAAATTTTTATTCTTCTGAAATGCAGACTCAGGGAGCTCCATGTCACTCAGTTTCAGCCTTATTCTTTCCTCTTTTTGCTAATGGAAAAAAAAAATGTATTTGGAAAAGCGACCCACCCAAAAGCTGTGCTCTGAGGAGACGCACAACAAAAGTTGAATTAGCCGGTATTGGAGATATGTGGGGGGATGAACCACATCCCAGACCTCATATTCGCCTATTTCTGAAGGACACGGAGTACATACATATATGAAAAGAACATCACGTCCGTTATGCGTGCGCCAGCTGCTACTTTTCTATTTCTGCCCGATTCGCTAGGATATGAAAAAATCTTTGAAAACGTAACGTCCCCAATAAATATGCCCCCCAAAATATTTTGGAAATTTGGCATTTTTCCTAAGCGCAGTGCGTCAGCAGTCACGTCCTTGCCGAGTTTCAGCTTTCCATATGTCTCCGTTTGATTGAAGCAAAGAGAACTATTTGAAAATATGTTCCCTTAAAAGGTGTGCCACTACGGAATGTATCACCAAAGTTGAATTTTTCCTGAACTCAGCATGCGAATAGCTATTTATGTCAGTCAGCTACTCACGATCGTCTATATATATCAATAATAAAATAATTTTTTCCAGTTTCTCTTTGCCTATCTCTCTTTGTTTAAAACCCTATTGAAGTAGTAGAACCCTTCGGGCACGAATCTCCACACCAGGGGAAGCCTCTTACTGCGAAACAGTGGTCCTGCAAGTAGTGACTTGAGCATCGTCATGTCTGCATGCACAGAACGCTCTCCACTAGGTTCCTCTAGGAACCAAAGGTGTGAACCTCCTTCAGCTAATGGACTGTGCAGGAGCGGTGCATGTAGGACGGACTTACGCTGTGGAAGCTTTCTATTACATCTGTTGCGGCAGCCACTATCTTCTTCTTTAATCATTATTCCCCCGGTGTGATGTCGAAAAGGGTTTTACACCACTGCAAATTGTTTGGTAGGATCGTGCCCCTGACGAGACTCCTACGACTTGCCAGTCCATTAGGCCTCCTTAGCCTCATCCTTCGCCTTTTTAATATTCTCTTCTTATTTTCTCGCAATAGTTGGGGCTCGTGCTGGCCGTAGGGTTTGGCTTGATCGGCGTGATTTCCTCACTAACATAATTAGCCTAGGTGTCTGTCGTTGTCGGTCATCACTCCCAGCACCTGGGTTGTCCCGAAGTTATCCCGAAGTGATATTCTTTTCATATATGTATGTACTCCGTGTCCTTCAGAAATAGGCGAATATGAGGTCTGGGATGTGGTTCATCCCCCCACATATCTCCAATACCGGCAGATGCCGTGGAAGGATTTATATATATACCTGTATAGTAGATCAAGCATATCTATACAGCCGATGTGGACTGTAAATCGTTGAAAACATTTCGAACGTGTATATTTATAGTCCCATAATAAACTATACGTAGGAAGAACAAAGATCGGGGCGAATTACGTAGTTGTGAGACACATATGATTTATATTATATATTGCTGCTGCTCGTTGATATCGAGCTGGAAATATTTTTAGATCAGCCTCACGCGAGAAAGACTATACTGCAGCACGTAGGTATTGCTAACACTCAATAATATGGGAGATTGTTACCTTCGCTAGAAATGCATTACCGTACAAGTTAATTACGTATCCACTTTCAGCACCATATTCCCTTGGCAACTACGACGCAGTACACGGTACTGAAACATCAATTACCTCAGTTGCCAAGCTCATAGAGCTAGCTGTTTTTCGAGTGAAGTAAATTGCAACCTTTTTTTTTTATTCTGCTAAAAGAAAAAATCGTCTAATGTGTGATAATGTTGCTAAAAATTGTTCTGTCACAGCGCTCCAGATAGAATCTAAGTTTTTTTAATTTTCGGTCACTGATTATTTAGTCATTGCTTGAAATCGCGACCGAAAGGGTTATGTCATGACTAATACAGTTCATCTGAAGACCTGCGTCTCTGCCCTTCCACGCGTTCCACGCCTTTCCCAAAAGGCTGGAGCGAAAATGAATGCTAAAATACATATGAAGACCCTGGCCGATCGCTTGCGACTGAATGCCGACGGAACGAATGGGCAGATGCTGTTCGAGTTGCTCGGGACTGCCCTTTCGACTTGTCTCACTTCTGCTTCGACGAGGGAAAGTTCGATGAAGTAAGCGTGAATGGTGGCAATTTTTTTGCTTCCTTGGTGTTGGGGGGGGGGGGGTCCACGCTCGCCTGAAATTCACCCCGAAATTCGAATTCCTCATTCGACTCCGACGTGTGGTATTGTGTACCATAGTCGCTGCTTGACCTGATGCTGACCTACACGCCGGCGGGGGCGTCTATGCAGACCATCATCCACTTCGTCCAGGAAGTGAGCGCCAGGAAATTCCAGCATTTCGACTGGGGGAGAGAGGGGAACTTGGAACACTACGGCCAGGAGGAACCGCCCGAGTATGACATTTCTGAAGTCAACACGCCCGCTTTTCTCTATTGGAGCGAGGACGACTGCTTCGCGGATCCCGAGGTACGTCCACGACCCTCTCTTCATTTTCCTCGGGTTTATTCTTTTTTTTTAACGATTATTGATTGATTTATTTATTTATTATATTTTAAAACGAAGTTTCCTTCGTATTCCTAGGACGTTCAATGGTTGTCGATGCAACTCTCTTGCCCGAGTGGGAGTTTCCGAGTGAACGTTGACGACTGCGGTCATCTGGACTTCCTCTGGGCTGTCGAAGTCAAAGAACTCGTAAACTCGTATATGACAGAGTGCTCGAAATGAAGAAACTCTTTGAGCCGTGAGAAAAATATCAGAAAAAAGGAATGGAGAGGATACACCGTATGGCCCAAAAAAAAGTCCCGAAATTTGTACGCCTGCCGACGGAATACCATATGAGCTATCCGCAGGAAACTTGCAGGGTTTCACATCCAAAGTGTGTCGGTAATTTCACAAAAATTTAAATCAAATATGTTTTTAAATTCCTGAGTAACAGTTTTTCTCCCGCTCGATATCAAAGGGGCGAGTGCGTGAAAATGTGCGACTGCCGTCAATGAAGAGATGTTTCAACGGGTCTTTCATTATAGCCCGCAAATGCTCGCAGACGCTGGTTCCATTGGTCGATCCACTTTCTTTTCGTGTTGTCAGAGACAAGAGGTGGCAATTCCTCTATTCCATCCTGCAGTTCAGCTAGAATGAACACGACGGAGATTTATTCTTGTGGATTCACTGCGCTTGAAGGTAGATTAAGAGAACTACCTGCAGTTCTTGGAGAATAATTTCTATCGATGCAAACAGTTGGACCCTAAAGTCACTAATAACCCTCAAACCAAATATATTTGTGACTCGCGACGCCCTATGCAGAAGAAACTAGCTCAATATCTATATTTCCAAAATTAAAAAGGGATGCACTGTTTATTCCAATTATTTATTGTTTTAAATCTTGCGATGCAGGTGGAAAAAGAAAAGACAGCAAAGCATAGACGAGAGATGCCTCTCCCGTCGCCCATCACTTGCGTATATTACGAGTACAGAAAACGTCAACGGGGAAATTTTAAAGAATGGTCCTCGTTGCCAGGCAATCGTCGAGTCACACAGATCGATCTCGATTCATCCCAGCTCCGCTTACGGCGAGATCAAGCGTCCGAAATGGGTAACTATTGCTGCTGTTGCCCACAATCAGAAGAGGATTCGGATCGAGGCGATGCCTCCCGTGAGTCCATCCTACATTGTCGGTAGTCGGGCGCCTCCACCGGATCCAAATAAAATTGTGACCTGTCTTTCCTTTGGAGTTGCATTGCTTTTCGATCCAAAATATATTCTCATGTCCCCTCCACGAGCCGAATGGAATGAATGTTTTCGTCTAGATATGGAAGCAGGGTCGTCAGCTGTCGACGGGGAAAACCCTGCATGGCCCACATCCAAAGGCCACTCCGTCAAGAAGAGGTTCCTGCCGAGCCTTTTTAAGAAGAAAAGCGCCTCGTTGGAAAGAGTGGGGATGGGGCTCATCTCCGAGCAGCCGCTCCCATTCAAGAAGAGAGAGAAAGTCCATGCTACACCCTCTCCCCCCAGCTCCGATTCCGCCGATCTTACTGGTTCCTCCCGTGATGCGCGTGGGCCAGAAGGAGATCGGGCCGAGTCAGATGCCTCCCCCCCGTTTCCTGCCTCCTTCGACCACGAAGCAGCCGCACGTCCAGAAGAGAGCGTCTTCCCACCGTCCATCTCCTTGTCCGACGACAAGCGTGTGTTTTCCTGGAAGAGGCACCTGGCTTTGCCCATGAAACCCAGTGTGTTTTCCACTGCATCCATCCTACTCATCGAATCGGGTGGGATCGTAGAAGGAACCATAACGATTCCGACTCGATAGGTGGGCGTCTCCCGGTCGTGGGTGTGGGTGAGATGAGGTTCGCATCTAGGCCGGGTGTGCTTGCGTTCGGGGTGAGATTGCTTCACCCCCCAATACCATCGAGTCGTGTCATGTAAGTGAATCATCGACTCAGGATGTTCACTCTTGTGATTCCAAGTTCAATGGTTTCTCTAACTCGCCGAATGCCTTGAAGGGAGTTGGAGGAATATATGGTGAATCTCAGTCTCCTTCCCCCTCGTGTGGAGGTCTCCTGCAAATCATCGGCGATGCTCGTGTCCATCTTCTTGCCTCGTGNGTTGGAGGAATATATGGTGAATCTCAGTCTCCTTCCCCCTCGTGTGGAGGTCTCCTGCAAATCATCGGCGATGCTCGTGTCCATCTTCTTGCCTCGTGAGTCTCTTTCGTGATTCACGCTTGTATCCCTTGCAGCGGACGAAAACATCCTCTTCCATTGTCGTTGATTGCAACTTAGAATTTCAGAAGTCATATTCTGCAGAATTTCACACCTGAATGAGATTCTTTGGTTTCTTACCTTGTTTCCAGAACGCTCCTGGCTTCTGCCGCCCGAGCTGGTCGTCGCTGCGTTCTTCGAGGACGACTGCATGATGCTGAATGTGCAACACCGTGTCGGATCTGGAACGGAGGAGACCAAGAAAATCTGTCGCCGCTACCATCATCCAGTATTGCCCATCAAAGTCACCGTGCTGGAAAGTCGTGGCCGCACTGCGATTGCGATGTCGGTGGATTACGATGCTGTTGATGATCTCTTCCCGAGTCTCAGCCGCTACCTTGGTTCGGCGACAACAGGAAAAGGAAGAAATGAGCTCATGGAGGATGAGGAAGGAGGATGCCTCATTCAAGAGCTCATCTGATGTGGAAGATGGTTTCCTGGCATGAATGATTTTTTATATGTGTAATCCGAATGAATGATCCTTTTCTATCGGGACACCAGCACGATGAGTGAAATAATTAAATATCCTCATTACATAGTTCTGTATGAGTACGCTCCTCATACAAAAATGAGCGAATTTGAATTCGAAATGTTTCTCTAGAGGTTCCTGTGAGACAGAACTCACGGAAAGTCGTAATCGAGCGAAGTGAAAGAGGTTGGTGGAACGCGTCCAAAATTGTTTCATCGAAATACGGTCCTTCAAAATGTCAGTGTTTTGTCTCATTTGATTGCTTTGTGAATGAAGTCTATTAGCTTCAACTTGGAAGAAGTGAACGTTTTACGGGTGACAATTATTTCATTTATAAAATTTCCTCGAAATTTTACTCCGTGACTTCATCCCCTGATGATGGAACGCATTCCCACCTTTCCATCCAAAACTTTATATTTTCCCCCTTTTTAGTTTTTCTTTCCTTGCGCTGAAAACATAGGAAGTTTTCGTAAGGAAGCGAATTCCTTGCTACATGTTCTTTCCCCGTGGCTCTCCTTCCCCCTTTCTCTCCTTTCCCCAGTCTCTCCTTCCCCTTGTCTCTCCTTCCCTCTGGTTCTACTTCCCTCTGGCTCGACTTCCCTCTGGCTCTCGCGCCTGACCCTGCCAAGCATTCGCCTTCTCGTTCCCCGACTCGTCACCTCCACCTGTGATTGAGAGTGGGACGCCCCTCTTTTTCCTTTCGTCTCTTCGAAATTCCGTCTCCGATGTGAATGCGTTCTCATTTTCCTTTTGTTTCATTCTCGCTGGTTGCATATATATTCAATTATCAGAGGGTGTGTATGAAAAATCGAGTCTGCCTCAGAGGAATATTTCCGCAATACTTTACCCTTTACTGTATGATATATAAAAGAATTGGAATTCAATTCTAAGAATTGGAATTTAAAAGTCAGCCGTACGAAAAAATAGGGTAACTTACACGCATATGGCAAGACGGGAGTTCCGCGGTGCGCCGTTGTTGCACCCGTTCTTTCCATTCTCTACGTAAACGATCTTTCTAGTTCTATCACTCATGAGCTTAGTGTTCGTACCAGCCGACATGCGGACGATACCGCCTTCTGGCTCTCAGGCTGAGAAGTCACTGTTCTCGAGTCGCGGTCCCAGGTTGCGCTCAACGCTTCTTCAAAGTACTTGCGCAATTGCCGTATTAGCATGAATCCCTCCAAATCCTCTTGTTCACCCCCGACAGAAAACCCCAAGGTGTAAACAGGATGTGCTCATCCTGCGCTCGCGCTCCATCCGATTTCTCGCTGTAAATCTTGATAGTCACCTCAGATGGAATAATCACGTTGAAGCAATCCGCTCTAAAACATCCAGTAAACTTAACCGCTTAAATACACCCATCCGGGATTAACAAATGGGAACCTCGCGCATTTTTGAAATAATACGTAACGTACCTCCGCCCGGTCTTCTTATAAGTTAATTTATATATTTTTTTAAATTTATATATAAAGTTTTGCTTTAAATAAATTATTCATAATATATAATAATAATTTTAACTCAATGTTGAATAGTGTTGAGCCCCTGTTGAATAGATGTTGAAAACCAGTGATTCAACAGTAATTCACCGGTGAATAAACGGTAATTCACCGGTTATTCAACGGTGAATACTGTTGAACCCCTGTTGAATAGACGTTGAAGACCGGTGAATCAACGGTGAATCACCGTTGATTCACCGGTTTCAATTTCAACATGTTGAAACTTTTTCTGTACGGGTAAAAAGCGGCTTCAATTTCCTCTCTATGCATGCAGCTTATTGGTTAACGTTGAGACATTATCGGAGGCGAGTGAAATTCTTCGCCTCCTTTTTTATGTTCTCTTGAGTAATAGGAAGTCGGAGAACCTCTTACGCGAAACATCCAGGTTATGCAGTAGAATTAATAACATGAAACCGGGGTCACGGTGGATGCAACAGCCATCTTTGGTTGCGTTCTTTGCGAATGAAACTGATGCTGATTTTGACTTAAACGACGAAGTCTTCCCTGTTGGAACGGATGAAACTAGTTTTATTGAAGGAAAGTGAAAAACTCTCTGAAGAGAAGGGACTGGCAACATCAGAAGGACCAAGGTGTTCTCTTCGGTGCGGTGGAAGGTCTCCTCAGCCTCATAGATTATCCTATACTTAATTATATGTGTATAATTCAAACAAATCCCATTCATAATGACCATTCGATTCCATCTTCGAACAGACGAAGCAAAGAAAAGCAAAAACAGCATGGGCAGCATCTCGCTGCTGGTCGTCGTTCTCCTGACCCTCGCGTCCACCTCCCTCGCTCGAGTCCGAGCCATCCCACCGATCGCCATCGACGAATCGGGAGAACTCGCAAGCCCTCGCGAGGCCATACGGATCCTTCAAGAGGCGTGGGAGGGGCGTCGCATCGGGCCTCCCGGGAACCCCAAGACGGATGACTTTGGACTCGACACGGTTAGCCATGGTCGCGCAACTGTATACCCGAGATTTCGTCACCGTGTTGAACACTGATTTTTCGATATTCTGTATATGGGAACAAGAATGGTGGATATTGATATATACAGGGTGACCCATAGGCATGTTGACATTTAACCAACGGTTAAGATTATTTGCTCTTTGGTAAGTCTATTATCCATTATAGTAGTAAATAAATGCAGCCATCAACAGAATCTGAAAAACAAGAATAATATGTGACATAATATATAAACCCAAGCTTATTCTTTTAATTAGTGTAGCTGAAAATCCTTCGATAGACTTACTTACCCAGTGTCATGAATGATAAAACGCATTAAATTATTGAAAAAAAAGGAAAATGGAATGAAATCGATTACGCTCTAAAAATATCATCTCGAGCTTTAAGATGAAGTCAATCCCTAGTGTAATATGAGCTGTGATTGCGTTGTGCCCCTAAGCTGCTCAATTTCTTGTTCTCTTCACACGATTGGAACTTGCGAGTGATGGCCTCGAGAAAGGGCATCCAAGTTCCATTCTCCTTCCATCACTCAACTCGTTCAACCAGAACCTGTTCATCTTGTTTCCTGAAGGAGGGTTATGGAAAAGATGCGGCACCCCATGCGGCTTCATACAGCGTGCCCCGCCTGCAACTAGACACGTCGATACTAGCACGTATATACCTGGTATATCTTAATTAGCATAACGTCAAACATATATTTCGCACAATTTCACTCTGTTATCCACATACAGCGCATGATACAACATGACACGACTGCATGGGTTCTGACATTCAGACACAAACAAGCATCGCACTAAGCGCCACTACAACACATCGGGGTATACTTTCAAGCGTACTACCATAATAACTCTCCGATTCCCCTGCCCTTTCCTCCCACAGCCAGAGTTGATCGAGAAGTACGGGTACCCTGCGGAGACCCACACGGTCACGACCGAGGATGGCTACATCATCGACATCCACCGGATCCCGCACGGGATCGACGGACCCGGCGAGAGGCCCCGGATCCCCGTCCTCCTTCAACATGGGCTGCTTTGTTCCTCTGCCGTTTGGGTCCTCGCCGGGCCCGAAAGGGGACTCGGTTGGTCTCTCTTCTCTTCCTTCTTCTTCCGCTTTGCTTTCGGGGACCTGTTCTTTACCCGGAAAGATATTTCTCTCGTCATTTCCATTGAAGTCATCAAGGAACGAATGTATTGCGAAGTCATTCTTGAAATGACGTTGAATGGGTTGCCAACCCGTCCCTATGTGTCGAAAACGCAAAAGAATAATAGTATCCGCGCCCAGACGAACAGGAAAACTTGCTTCCAGACCGTCCCGTTGAGAATACCTAACATAACTTTACTACAAGAGATTCCAGACGAGCGATACCTTGATTCGTTAAGGGGAATCCCATAGTTCTGGCTTGCCGTCAATTAGAGAGACTATGTGAACAGTCTCGTTAGCACTGATGCCACTTCGGACAGCAGTTTTCCTAGCAGCAAGCTGCTAAATTTGAGTGCAATTTTCTAAGAACTTGTAGAATTGACTCCGAAATCTATTTCTGTTTCTGATCGCGGAGAAATTCCTGCGATGAAATTTTGCAAGCACCTCGTCAAATTTCTCATTCTTGGACGATGTTATAGGCTTCATATTGGCTGATGCGGGATACGACGTTTGGCTCGGGAACGTGAGGGGGAACACGTACGG